GCGGCGGCAGCGGCGGCAGCGGCGGCGGCGGCGGCGGCCGGGTGCTTGCTGCACAGCAGGCTCCGAAAATAAGCAGGGTCCGAGTGGAAAGCGACGTAGTTTCCCTGGAGCGGGACAGTTTCATAGTTTAGAGGGGGTTTGCAAGGCGAGCGCACGATTTCCGGGTACTGCGAGCCCGGGTACTTGCTAAAAATCTGAGGTAGATGGGCGGCGGGGCGCGCGGCGGCGGCGCCCGGGCGCGGGGACTGCGCGCTGATTGGCAGGGGCCGCTCGGCTCCGCTCAGGCCCCGCCAAAGTTGGTGCTTGTCCTTCCAAAAACCCGGGCGGGGGCCGGCGGCGGCGGCGGCGCGCTCTGGCGGCGGCGCCTTTGTGGCCAGGTCCCGGCCGACCCTCCTGCGCTTGGTCTTGAGGACCCGCTCGGTTTTGCAGGAGGTGTAGAGCGCTTCCACGTCTTCCCGGGAGATGAGCGTGCATTTGGCGGCGTGGAAGGCGATGCTGTTGATTGCCTTGAGTTTCCGCAACTCCTCCAGATCGCAGTGGTGCTTTTTCACTTTCAGATGATCCATGCGCTTGTGCACGGTCGTCCTCGGGATGTTTTTCAGCAGATCCGTGAAGACTTGGGAGAGGGCAAACATTTGCTTTCCTTTAATGATGAGGTAGCCGAGCCTCACGCCATCCACCTCTTCAAAACCTGACTTCAGGTCTCCCATCTCGGGCACTAAATGATCCCCACCATTTGCAGTAAATATATACGTGACGCATACATACACATGTATGTATGTTAATCCTCCACCAGATGCTGCGTGTGTCTCAAGGCATCCTGCTAATAAAATAACAAAGACTGTTATTCCCGGCGAAGGGAGTGCCAAACTCTAGGCGAAATTATTGGAAAAACAAAAACATGAAATTACACTGACTTGATTCTTGCTTTTTTTTTGGTTTTCGTTTTTTTAAAAAAGAGGGAAAAAACCATCCGGTTTCTGATCTGCCAGTGTGTTAGTCTAAGTCCCCGATGCAGATCAGTACCTGGGCCCCTCTATTCCTTCCTTCTCCATTGGAGCACTATGATAATGGAATGTGAAGGGAGAAAGAGAGAAGAAATGCAGCTGCTATTCCCGCCGCTGCTTTAGCTACAAATAAAATGACAGAGTGAAGTGAGCTCGTCCGGAGACACCTTCATCAATTAATTCCCCTAAAGCCAGCGCTGATTGGACACTCCTGACAGGTGATGCAATAAAAATTGATATTCCACCCCTTCCCCCCAAAATCTCCCACTAATTAGCATACCCTTATACTGCCACCTCCCCTCCCAAAGTAAATAATACAGTCGGTATATAAATCTTTCCATTAAACTATCGGAGCTCAGAAACAGCCTGACTCACAGACTTCATCTGAACCAGTGTGTGTACGCTAAAAAAAAAAAAAAAACCTGTATATTCGCCTTTAAAGGAATATTGCCTATTTTTTGCTTTACCGCTACAGCTATTATCATTTCAAAGAAAAGCATTTTTAAAACATTATCAAGCCTAAATAGATATACCCCACCCCCTTTTCCTTTGGAGAATGGAGCTTAAGCGAAAATGTGCAGAATAGCCTGGTATTTCCCTTATGGGAGTGGGGAAGGAGACAGGCTGGGAGCTCCAAAGTTAAACCCGCGCGGTCAACCACCCCAGTACAGACTTACGTTTTGAATTTCTCTCGATTTTCCTTTTTTTTTTTTTTTCCTGAAATGCCTTTTTATAACCAGAAACAAAGTTATTTGACCAAGAAAGCAGTTCAAGGCTCCAGCTCCGAAACACTGTAACAATTCAACTGGATTTTGGTTCTCTGCTGGGGGGTGGGGTGGGGAGGAGGTAGTTTCACGTCAGACCCATAACAAAGCATAGATAAGCCAGAAATGTGTACACTTTTCACAATTAACCAGGCTGGATTGGAGGCGGGATCGTCCTAGAGTTCCCAGCACAGCCTTTGCCAGGGTCCTGTTCACGACAGGTCAGAATTCCAGGGAGCGGACTGCTTCTGCAGCAAAGAAAAGAAAATGTAAAACGTCCAAGGTGCTTCTAGAGGTTTTACGTAATAACGATGGAAAGAAAGTGCTGATGTACGATGCAGACTATTTCAGTGGTCTGTGATGCTTTTGGTTGGTAGTTTAAATGAATCTTTCACAACTTCCATTTTTTTCCATGAAAGCCAAGCATCTGCTTTAAAAAAAAATCACTTTGGATGAATATCAATATTGTTAACCTCTTCTTAGTCAAATTAAGGCATATTTTGGTGTCGTTTTCAAGGATATCCAAAATATCGCCAAATGAGAGCAAGGGTCTTCCCAGTTGCATTACCACGATCCCAAGGCGGTTTGTTGGCTGCTTTGCAAAATTCGGCAAAATCTTCTTAACTGTTCGGTGTTTGCAACTACAGCATAAATGCAACCCAGGCATTTATATGTTTCCTTGTTCCTCCAAAAATAGACACATCCGTGTGGTTAAAAGAATAAACGGATATTTCTGAGTCTGCAAGAAAAAAATTGTACAATAATTTCTTCCTTCATATTCAAAAGTTCCAGCTTCCCCTTCTCTGGTCTGGCTAGCACAAGCAGGTATGGCTCAAAAAGAAAAAAACAGAGAGCGAGAGATAAAAACAGAAGAATCAGACATACAAAAAGGTAGATTGCATGAAATCTCGGCCATAGTTCCCCACCCCCACCCTCATCTCCCTTGTAATTTCCTAGGAATTTTCAAGAGAATTGGGAATTTCAAGAAGTGCATCCGGAAATTAAGGAAGTCTATTTAAGAGAGTCTGTAACTCAGAGGTTGGGATTTGAAAAGTCAGCCCTGGACTACTGTTGCACTCAGCACAGATGTAATCGCCGCTCTTCAACTTAATCAATGTGTGTACAAACCGCGATGTCTAGTTCTTGCCTTTGAAATCTAAGGCTAGCATTTCCATCCAAGAAATCAGAGCTACAGCAAATTACATTTTTGTCCCTTGAATGAGAGAAGGATCATTGAATGGATCTCGTGATATTTCAGGCTTTAAACGTAACCGAGAGGCAGCAATGAACAATGCCTCGTCACAGCTAATACCATCCACCGAGTTGGCTTCCTTTTGCATCTGGATCTATCACACCGCGTTTTTCTCTTTCACTTTCACAGGAGGCAAAATGCAAAAGGTTTAAGCAGAAAGCAAAGTTCCCAGGAAAAGCAGATGCTGCTGTTTGCTTTTTAAAGTAGGATGACCAGAGTCTTTCTATTGCCAGTGACAATAATGTCGTTTTAAAATTCCTCCTGATGCACTTATATACTGCCAGCCCTCTTCCTCCCACCCCACCCCCGTCCAATTCCCCTCCCCCAGCTTTAAGATTTCGACCAAAGAGTCAAACAGCCAAGAAATAGTAAACTCAGAAAAAGCCTTTGAGAAGACATTACAAAAGGTTGGCTAGAGCGTCCTTTTTTTTTTTTTTAACCAGGTAGTTCTAGTTGTTCTTGATTCCTATTTAGATTTACACACACACACACACACAAACTCACACTCCTATTCCTCCTGCACATAGCAACATGATTTAGTAACCATTTCAAAATTACCTTCCTTTCCTCTCCCTTCTTTCTTTTCACCTTTAAAATACTGGCAGTATAGGTGGTTTTTTAAACTAGCAGAATATTAAGTATTTTTTTAAAAACTAAAGGTACAATCTATTGGATCAAATGAGAAAAATAAAGGCTGGGGCATTTGGGAAATGTGTCTATATATACAATTTATGCGAATATCTTTGTGCATTCAAACACCTTTCCGCTTATACATTTTTAATACTCCTATTACACATCTTTCTTCTTGTCTAATACATTCTTTGTTCCTTTAACTTCCCCATCGTTGTGTGTGTGTGTGTGTAAGGCGTGAGCGCGCGCATTCGCATGCATGCACACACACACACACACACACACACAGAATGTGACAGACAGCTTTCTTGTGGCCATCAGCACACGTTGCATATCCGGGGTCTTCTCCAGGCACATTGGGGGTCGATCCCGATAAAAAGATCTAGCAGAGGCCCCTGAGCGCTCACACATGAAAGGCAGGGGACTTTAAGATGGATTTGCATGCACACAGGGGATTTCGATCAATAGCTACCAACATTTATGGCTTAGATTATTAATGTGAAAGCTGGCCAAAAGAATGGGGATGAAAAATTAAAGGTGTCTGTTATCAATTATGCTTAAAGTTATGCAATAATTTACTTACTTTGCCTGGATGTGCAGATCCAGATGTATAAAGTACGATTCTTCAAAAGCCAGGGGGTTTCTTTGATAAATTTGTTGACCATGTCAGTCGCCTCTACAATCAAAGATGAACCCAATTCAGATGATGGACTGTATTCAGATTCTTTTTTAAGAAAAGATATATCAACTTCTATGTTTCTCAAATGCATATACATATGTGGGTGCATATGCCCAAATTAACATTTATGTGTATGTCCATCTCCGAGGGACCAGGGAATTACTTATTGAGAATTTAGGCGTATATATGATGCGCATTAAGTTTGTTAATTAAATGTGATTATTTACTAAGTGAGAAATGCATAATCTACACACTATCAAAAAAGTATTTTAGCTTTGAAAACAAAGCTGCTTGCTAAAGGAAAATCCTCTGTGGCAAACATACAGATAGAAATATATTCTTAATGTCCACTTCTGCATTTATTGTAAAAAATCAGCACTTTCGCTTTTTCAAGTGATGGGCTATGAAGATATGAACAGATTTGTCTTTACTTATCCTGTATGAATGTGCTAAATTTACCTTCAGATGTTCTATTTTGATTTATTTTCACCATATTTTATGTTTAAATACCATTGCAATTCAGTCTGACCTCTTTCCTCTGGAGCGAAGTAATGCACACGGCATTTACAGTCTTTTAAATGGTTAGCTGGGAAATGCAATAGCAATTTGCAGGAGTAGTTTACTAATGGGGAAAGTTCTTTTGAAAACCTGGAGGAAAACCTAAGAGTACTTTTGCATTTCTACACTACAACCGTCATATAATTAAAGTATTGAAGAGCATTAAAATAATCCTTTTCCTTCCAAGCTTTCCTCCATACATACATAATTGAAATGAGGAGCAGCCCCCATCACCATCATCACCACCTAACTCTTCACCATATACATTTGTTTTAGTGATTGCTGGGCACATTTTGTTCAAAGTGAATTCAGACAGAAAAGACTAAGGAACATCACAAAGGCCTCAATAATGTAAGTATACTGGTTAGAAGAATAAAAGAAGCCCCTTGTCCTGTTAGCCAAAAATAACTATAATACTTACAACATAACAAAGTCTAAAATAATAATTCCAAGTCTCATATGGTGGAATTAATTGAGGATATAGGACAATAAAATCTTGTGTGATAGTCAACAGTTCCTTACCTAAATTTATCTAAACTCACATGTTCTCTGCTTTTAGGGAGGGGAAAATGAGAATGGAGGAGGAGGAAATGGCTAAATTAAGGAATAACTTAAATGATAACAGTATATTTTCCTTAATTTTTTTTTTTTGTCTCATCCAAACAAACCAGGGCAAGTCTCCAAAAGGGCCCATCCTTCTGTTTTTAGGCATTTAAAAATCCTGTTTTTAACAGAAGTTTGGGACACAGAGTATATGCCATGTTGTCTACTGACCCATAATCAAAATGCGGTGACCTTCTACCCTTTTTTTGCCCCCTGACCCATCTTGAATTCAATGCAGCCTTTATAAATTTGCAAATCCTTGGAGGTAAAGGAGTTTTGGTGAGGCTTTGTTCTGAAAAAGCCCTAAGAGTGTGCTTTCTAAATTAGACAAAGGTAAAGCTACAAACGCTAGTGGACAAGATTTTACACAGGTGAGCAATAGGCAACTCTTCAGATAACACGTATTGCAAGCTAAAAAGCAGTTAGAAACGTGGGAGACAAGAAGGTTAGAGATTGCATCAAATTAGAGTGTGATACAAATCACTTTCATGATGTAAGAAATGGTTAGGCCACAATCTTCCTGCTCTCCTCATCTCTAGGGCTGTGGGGGACCCTAGTGACCAAGGAAGGAATGGGGGAGGGGGAGGGTAGTAGAGGGAGAGAGAGGGGAGGGAGGGAGGAAGGGAAAGAAAGAAATGAGTGAGACCTGATCTGAATCTACAGGCACATTCCCTTATCTTTCCTGCTATCAGCTAGTTTAAAGGACACCATAATTATGATGGTGATAAAACAATGCCTGCTTATGTGTGCTGAATAAATAAAGAATGTTTACAGCCCAAGAATCTTTTAATTCCAATTAAACCCTATCAAAGAAAAGCCACTTTTCCTACTGAAACCGCCTTTCCCCCCAATTATCTTGTTTTGTTGCAATATTTTCCTATGAGACACCAGGGCCTCTCACA